ACACACACACACACACACACACACACACACACACACACACACACACACACCATGAATGGATTAGGCTATTGCTCCAGAAAAAAAGATTTTGTAATGGAATAACCCATACTTTGGGTGCAGAGGCAAAGATGACTGCAGAGCTTTCCATTGGCATGCTAGGGTCAGGATGGCATGACTGGCAGGGAAAAGACCTGGGGAATGGAAGGAAGCAAGGGGACAGCAGGGGCAAAGTCTGAAACACACAGAGAACACATCCACTCTCCGATTTCCTTCTTACAGGAAAGAAAATGCAAAAAAAAAAAAACCAAAGAAACTTCGTAACAAAAATAGCACATGTTCACCTCAAAAATGTGGAGAAAGCACATGGATCATATTTTATTTCTATCCTCACAGAAAGGCTGTTAATTGTGCAGTTTGGGGCCAACTTTTAAAAATGCAAATACAATATAATGAAGCCCAGGCTGTCCCAATGTCTTTTGTGCTATGTCATTTGTTTTCTTCTTTTGTTCTGTGCTACACTGGGAACTTTCTCATAGGCCATTTCGTATGTATCCTAGCAGGCCTTTAACAGTCACCGTGTGCTAACTCACCTGAGCAACATACATTCACACTGTTTATCATCATTCGGACAGCCCTATCATGAGCATTCCACACCTGAGTCTTGGAAAGGGTCTCTGTGAATATACTGCTTTATGATAAAGTCTGTCAAGAACCACTGGATAGATGGAAATGTCAGAACATGATCTCTGTTACCTTCCAGAATGCGTCTAAGTTAATGCGGTAACAGAAAAGGTATAAATAAGCCCCCACTTTCCTGCTAACACTCTCCTCCACTTACCAAACAACTAGAAACATAAATGTGGCATCACCCTGCCAGCCCTGCTTTCCCTGATGTCCCTCAAATCTTTGACATTTCATCGTTTCACATCAAAAGACTGAGGAGCGTGTTTGCCCTAGCTCCTGGGGGGTGGTGATGGGAACATGGAGAGATACAGGGCAGAGCTCTCGGCTCTGTTGGGGCGGGGTTGGGCAACTGATGGCCTCCAAGAGCTGTAAATTACTCCCCTACATAATTTGTAAGACCAAGCTACACAAAAACATTTCCAGCCTGCAAATATCTGATGACCCATTGACTGCCAAGAACAATACAGACACTATTATTGAGGTAATTCATACATAGAGTTTTACCTTTTCTTCTAAACTTTGGCTTCCTATATGAATTCTGGTTTTGCTGTCTATTCTGAATTAATTATTATTATTATTTTTTTACTTTTCCCATAAACCAGAATAATCAAACCATGTTACATGGCTTATAAGTTTTGTATAGAAGCATATAAAATATTCTATAGATGTACAAATGTGAATATTTTTCTTGAGAGAGAGATGCCCAAGACTTCATATTGTCTAAAAGAGCACAAGAACTGGTTTAAGAAACTTCGAAAGGGAGAAAATTCTAAGTTATAACTGCAGTGCTTACAAGGGCGAGGCAGTAAAGAGAAAGTCACAGAATAGGGAGAAAAGGTGACTTTGGTGTCCTCAATTCATTTGCACCAGCTAAACTGAAAGGCTGTCCCTTGCTCCAGGACACTATTGATGTGGCAAAACACGGGCCCAGTGTTTACAGATTTGATTTTATTTAAATGCCAGAAATCTGGGTATTTAGAAGAAATCTTCCAAACTTTAAATGCTTTCAACAATTTAAATAAGCAAACATTATGTGAGACAAATGATGGCTCTTCTGTTCTAACCACCACTACCGCTTTGGCTTCATGTAAATGGTGGGACCTAGAAAAGATCATCCTGAGTGAGGTATCCCAGAAGCGGAAAGACACACATGGTATATACTCACTTATAAGTGGATATTAGACCTATAAGATAGGATAAACATACTAAAATCTGTACACCTAAAGAAGCTAAACAAGGAGGAGGATCCTGGGTAAGATGATCAATCCTCATTCAGAAAGGCAAACAGGACAAACCCCAGAAGATGGAGAAAACAGGGAACAGAACAGGAGCCTACCACAGAGGGCCTCTGAAAGACTCTACCCTGCAGGGTATCAAAGCAGATGCTGAGACTCATAGCCAAACTTTAGGCAGAGTGCAAAGAATCTTATGAAAGAAGGGGAGATAGAAAGACCTGGAGGGGGCAGGAGCTCCACAAAGAGAGAGAGAAAAAAATCTGGGCCCAGGGTTTTTTTCTGAGACCGATACTCCAGCCAAGGACCATTTATAGAGATAACCTAGAACCCCTGCACAGATGTAGCCCCTGGTAGCTCAGTTTCTAAGTGGGTTCCCTAGTAATAGGAACAGGAACTGTCCCTGACATGAACTCAGTGGCCTGCTCTTTGATCACCTCCCTGAGGGGGAAGTAGCCTGGCCAGGCCACAGAAGACAAAGCAGCCAGTCCTGATGAGACTTGATAGGCTAGGGTCAGATGGAAGGGGAGGAGGACCTCCCCTATCAGTGGACTGGGGTCAGGCATAGGAGGAGAAGAGGGAGGGCAGGTGGAATTGGGAGGGGACGAGGGAGGAAAAGTGAATAAACTGTAATTAATAAAATAAATAAATACATTAAAAATTTTAAAAAACAAAAAAGAAACTGGTAATTTTTAAACATATTAAATATATACACAAAAATAATTAAATATTCTCTTTAGGTTTCTAATAAGCCAAGAACACCAAGAGCACTTAAGAAAAATGGTCCCATGGAGCTCTGGTCTGACTGGAATTTGGCACTTGGGACTAGGCAAATGAGATAGCTTTTCAGAAAATGCAATTGATGAAGACAGCAACCCCCTCTCCCCCATCTAAAATGTCAGGACTCAACAGACCGAGGCTTTGCCATAACAGTGTAGAAGAGAGTTCTGGAAGGAGGACACGTCAAGGCTCCTAATTGCATAGTTACATAAACCTTGCCTTTTCAAGCCCATAACGCTAGTGAGAGACATCATGCTACATTTTACCAGGTGCCAGAATTCAAGTCAGTGTAAGCGGCACAGAGGGCACACAGCAACATTCCAGCTCCAGACACATGGCATTAAAAATAATAACAACAAACCAACTTAATCTCTACAAAAGCATGTTCGTTGCTCTTTGAAAGAACTCTGAAATATAATTATCTGAAAGAGAAAAACCGTTTCCATATGCAAGTGAAGATTGAAGAAATCTTCCAAGTGAAGATTTCAAAGTGCCAGTCTCCTAGACGAGGACGCGAACTCCAGTGAAACTTTTCCCACAGCTCTTGGCTGCTGACACCATGGCAGGCTTGCAAGGCAGGTAGGTTCCTAACTAATGTTGAACTCTGGGGAGGAGTGGAAGTGGGTGAGAAGCCAGGAAGAGAAGCACCCTCCGGGCAGCTGCCCAGGTTAGTGGGCAGGAGAGCTGGAACTGGAAACCAAAGGAGCTAGCTACTGAAAATATGATCAAAACGGACAACAGCATTTTTCCTGAAGCCACAAGCTGGCATTTCCCTGGCCAAATATGCATTTCCCCATTCTGTGCCCTAGGTAGAGTTTTATTCAAAGTATGTTTAAAAACAGCATCTTGCTCACAGATATCACATGTTGGACAGACAAAGGCTTGAGCTTCATTTGTTAACCACTGTTTTGATCATCAGTGTCAAAGAGACAGTGAGACAAGAGAGCAATACCATTCTGAGCATCCCACCACATTCCAAGTCAAGGGACTCTGCTTTTCAAACAAGGGCTCTGTGCACGTGCGTGTGCACACACGCCTATATGATGCACTTAGTGCATTTTAATTTTTCCGTAGTCAGTAAAGAACAACCCAGGTTCTCACGCACTGCTTAAGTAATCAGGGAACACAAGGTACCTGTGATCATGCTGGATATAATCAATGGCAAAATGACAAGCTTCAGCATCCTCATTAGAATTTCTCCAGGAAACGCAAAGTAGAATTTATCCAGAGTTGAGAGCTCACTGTGTCCTCGAACCAAGAGTCCTATGGCAATTCCTAAGAAAAAAAACAGGGAAGAAAGAGGAGACATTTTTAGCTCTCTTGCATATAATTTGACACAATGCAAATTTCAATGGCAAGAAAAGCTGCTTAGACCATCTCTCCCAAGTCTACAAAGTTTAGACTTACAAAATCCAAGAGATAGTGACTAGGAAGCACACATAAAAAATAATATTCTTCACTCGGAAGATTCTGTTTTTATTTCCTCCTCATCAGTTATATCCGGTGTAACGACACTTCACCTAAGAAGTGTCAGCGTCATTAACTTCTTATCCACCTTGCCTCTCTTCCTCTCTCCATCCTTTCCCTTTGGAGCATTGAATAGCACGTCCAGGTTTCTTGCATGCTCAGTAAATTCTCTAAGACCCACAGTCCCCAAAGTCATCCTCTTTTGCAACCCACGAGAACTCTTTTCACAGGTCACCTTATCCTCCGTCCAAAGCAGACACCAGCTACCTATTTTATAGTTGACGTGTATTTTTTTTTTCTCATAAGTCCTTTTAAAAAATAAATTTGGGGGGCTGGAGAGATGGCTCAGTGGCTAAGAACACTTGCTGCTCTTGCAGAGGACCCAGGATCAGTTCTCCGCACCCACATGGGAGTGTCTCACCACCGCCTGTAACTCCAGTTCCAAGAGATCCAACTTCCCCTCACTTCCTCAGACACCTGCATGCACACACACGAGTAAATAAATAAATAAATCTTTTAAAAGATAATTTTTTTTTTTTACTGAAAATTCATCTCTGCTTATGCAGCTCTTTTGATTTTAATGGGAAAAAACCTTTCGCTTTGTTTTCAGACAGTCTCTCTAATGCATTCCAGGTGGTTTCCACCATGCAGTCTTGCTGCCGTAGTTTTGAGACTACAGGTGTACAGTACCAAGTCTAACGAATTTACTGTTACTTTGACAGGCATCACATTTTGGAGCACTGATGTTGTCTAGTGCTTTTCATTATTCCAGCTATTTCTAAGTCATGACATGCCTAAATCTATCAAATCAAGAGTATTGTTGAGGCCTGGTCTTTGTAGCAACGGACACAGTTGTAGCCATTTTTACATTCAGCTTCCATTTTGTCTATAAGGTGAAATTAAGTTAAAAAGTTAACTTGCTTCCTAGAAGTAGTTATTCATCACTGACACTTAACAGACCCTGCTGGAGCGGTCTGTTATGTTTTCCTGTGACTCAGTGGTGTCATAACTCGTGCTCTGTTATCTCCATCCTTGGCTACTCTCTGGTTGCTCTATGTTTTCTCTGCACTTGGCTGTGTTCTGGTTGTGCTCTGGAAGACCCTAACCACCACCTCACTTACCCTTGGGATCAATCAGCTTAAAGGTTAGCTGATAATTCATTGTCTAGTTGGCCAAAATGAATTACAGTATATTACTGCCCCATCTTCTGCACTTGCTTTTCCTATAAAGAGACTGCCCTAAGAACAGGTCGAGGTCACAGTTTGGCTCCTGAGTCCACTGTGTCCCTGATTGCAATCTTGGGTGTACATTCACTCAAGAAACCATTCATATCTGACTGAGACCGGAGTCTGACTGGTTTATGCAGCTCTTCTTAGACTGCAACAGGTATATTTGTTTAAATATTATAGTTTTGTTTTTAATTATGTGTGTGTGTGTGTGTGTGTGTGTGTGTGTGTGCGTGTGCATGCTCACGTGCATGTGTGTGGGGCATTACACATGAGTGCAGTGTCTACAGAGGCCAGAAGAGGACACCAGATCCCCGGAGCTGGACTTACAGGCTGTTCTGAGCTGCCCCTTGTGTACTCGGAGAACTGAACTCAGGTCTTCTGAAAAAGCAATAAATGCCTTTACTTCTGGACCGTCTCCCCAGCCTCAAGAGTCCTCTTATGAAGTTTCTGATCCTGATCTCCTTAAGTTTTGAGCTTTGTAATTATAGTCACACAAGGGCATGGTCGTTATTAAGAAATTTTCAGATCCGCCGGGTTAAATGCAAAGCTGCGCTACTTTAGGTGCCAACCACAAGCACAGGCAGTGTTTCCTGTGCCCCTCTCTTTGGGTTCAGTTCTTCCGCCAAAACAGATTCCAAAACTGAAGCAAATGTTAAGGGTTAAATGGCCAGGGGACATGATGTACAGTCCTGTGAAGGTCAGAAGAGTACAGAACTTCCCTGCCCTGTGGCACATTCTTTCCCAAAACTCAATTGGTTCATTTATCTGAAAGTGTTAAAACCTCAGCTCTTTATGAAAGCTTCATTATGCAGGCATGATTGATTATATCATTGACTATTGGTTTACCAACTCTTTCCCCCTCCCTAGGAATGAATGCCTTGGATCACAAGGTTGCTTGGTTCCCCTGGCAACCAAATGCATCTTCTGGCTAGGAAGGCCCCTCGTGATTCTCATTAATCCAAGGATTTTATGCATGTCCAGCAGCCCTAGGCCCCTTGTCTGCTAAAGTTTCAGTAAACCACATGAAGCTCAAGTCTTAAAATATTGCATGGAAAACTCCAGAAATAAATCATAGGTTAGTTATAAATTATAACTTTTAAGAGAAGGAAAAAACAAAACAAAACAAAACAAGAGATGTTATAGATTCTCTGAAATCTTGCCTTAAGATGTCTATGTGAAAACCACACGCTGTGTGGAGGCCTGATTTAACAACGACTTTGATCTCTAACATTCATAAAATATTAAGATTTTCTTATTATCTTGTTCCAAATACTTCAAGTAACGTCTAACTGCTCTGCCTTACCTTCCCCTCAACACACACACCTGTTTCAAAATCAAGAAATTCATGGGTTGGGTGACTCTCATCTATTTTTTCCTGAGTCACCCTGATGAGTGACATGTTAGTTGAAAGAAGAAAAAAAAATGACTAAATCACAGGAAGGCTTAAAAAGGAGATCACTGAAAATGCAAATTCACAAACTCAAGCAGCTTAGGAAAACCCGGAGTCATTTGGGTATGGTTAGTCACCACAGGGCAACGAAAAGGGAACTGAATGATAAGGAACAATAGAATCTTCACTAAAATGTGGGTTCCCATCCTTCACCCATCTCTAGCCCCAGTGGATGAATATTGCAAGATGGATTTTGAAGAACCCTAGCCTTAGCTACAGTTTATTCTTCTGCAAATTCTGCCTATCTCCCAAATCGTGGCTACAAAACAGAACTGGATTATCAATACAATCAATATAGTCCATACGTTAAAACTTACTGTTGGAGGCTCATGAATAGTTAAGACACCAAAACATTTTAAATAAATTTAAAAGGCATGGTACCCTCACTTCTTGCTTTGTGAATTGCCTGTATTCAGCTGTTTCGTAGAATATCAACAATTTGCTTCAGGTAAATTTGGGGCTTTTGTGTATGTAAAAGGAATCTTGGCGTATAAAAATAAAGGTTTCTATTGTCGAAACCAATAACAACAGCAGCCACAAAAGTGCTGTGTGGAGGAGCAAGCACTCCCTCCATGCTTAACCTTCACATTTGCATTAACAGTGAAGGCCTATGTCCGCAATTATCTCTGCCCCAGATGACTGCAGGCAAGACAGAAAAACAAAAACAACAACAACAACAACAAAAAAAAACAAAACAAAAAAAAAAAAACCCTGCACTTTTTCTTTCTCAGTCTTTGGTCAGATATGGGTTTTTATGGGAGAAACGAAGAGCTGCTATATGGAATAGCTGAAAATAGTTGAAAGTAATGAATGACTAGTAAGTACAGCGTTATATTTGGTAATTATGATTTCTATCAAGCTTGTTTGAAGTTGAATGCCATAGCACCCTAATAGTTCCTCTTTCTTTGCAAATAACAGAAATGTCAACCAAGTTCTGAGGGAGCAGTCAGAGGTTCACAGCTGTGATCTTGGCATCCTGACCTAAAAGGGGCTGGAGAGTAATCTCAGTTAAAAGGTATAACTTGAGAGTGGGTATGCTGTATTTTGGTGACCAGAAAATTTGGAAACATCAGACTCAGGAGAACAGCAGCAAAGCAAGTGCTTCACAAGGCCTACAGTAACCATGGATGTCTGTTCAGGGCAACGGTGCCAGCTGGAAGGAGAACTCAGCAATTCCTGGGACAACTGCAGCCTGAGAATCTACGAAATACAAGGCTAGGGTGTTAGTGAATGAGAAGGAAGGTGTGTTCTGAACTCATGTCCATAAGTAACAGAAAGTCCCAGACTCACACATTCGAATGAAATGCTTGCCTCTTCCTCTGTTTACTGAGCAACCTGACCAACTCTCTCATCAGCCCTGGCTCCCAGCTGCTAAAGAACAGTAGCTGCAATGAAGTGTTGCCTATCTTGTTTGTGATGTTTGGCTTGTTTCTTATTTACCGTTTCCATGCCCACGAGTGTCCACATTAAGTATCAGGAACCTTGGGCTGGGGTGAAGGTATACAAAGTCTCCAATGCCAAGGATACTGTGAAGAACTTCCAACCTGCCGGTGTTACAGCCAAGCTCAACTGGGAGAGACGCTTTCCCAACAAAGGAGGGGGAAGAGCAACGACCTCTCTAGTGAGAGAGACCTTCAGCCAGGCCAACAGCAATCCTCAAAGATGAAATAGTTAACCAGATACATACTGCCCCAGAAATGGACTCAGACATCACTCTGGAGTTTCCTTCCCAAACATCTGCAAGGCAACCCCTACACAGGTCCAAAGGTAGATTAGAAAGAATGCTTGTAGTTCTTAAACAAGCTCAAATTCTAGCCCCAGCAACTGTGAACTAAAATTTAACATCTTTAATGTAACTGCTCCCTTAGGTTGGGGCAACAGTTGGATACTCTGACTCCAAAGAGCCCTTCTACTGCCCAGGAGCCTGGGAATTCACCCAAGCCTTGATTTCCTCCATTTAAAATAGGATCCCAGAACGTCAGTTGTAAAGAAACCTTCCCATGCCTTGTCCAACTCTTACACACACATACACACCCACACACACACCCCCACATTACACAGGGAAGAAACACAGGAGAAACCAATCAAGACCTCAGTTAAGGATTCTTAAATTCGAAGACTTAAGTTTG